ACACATTGGGGGATGTCTCAAACACATTGGGGGATGTCTCAAACACGTTCGAAGGTGTCACAAACACGTTCAGGGGTGTCACAAACACGTTCAGGGGTGTCACAAACACGTTCAGGGGTGTCACAAACACGTTCGAAGGTGTCACAAACACCCACAGTTGCAACTTTAACTAAACTTTTACCAAGTGTGCACTTTAAGGGTTAAATAAATACACTAATCGTTGTTGTTGTTGTTGTTTCGTAATATTTTGCAGCAACCCCATAATCTAACATTCTTTTTAATGATAATAATTTGATGAAAAAGAAAAAAAAACAAACCAATCTACAAGACGATAATAATTTTTCTAACGTGTGAGTGTATGTTTTTGCACGTGTATTTTCTTTGCATGAAAAATTAAAAATAAAATAATTAGAAACACCTCAAAAAAAAAAAAAAAAATACGTTGAAAAAAAGTGTTTTACTAAGTGTACTAAGTGTCTCTTTCGATCTTTTTTTTTTCTTTTTCTTTTTCTTTTTAATTGTTGAACGTACAAATATTTATTATTTTTTTTTTTTTTTTATTAAATATAATCAAATTAAAAATACAAAGAAAAAAAGAAATAAATAAAAGATCTGCGAACGATAAACAATTATGGAGACCCGCCCCTCCCTAAAAAAAAAAGCAGCTATTTTATTATAAATTTCTTATCAATTTAATTTTAACACGTTGACTGTCGTTGTAAACAAAACAAAAATATTAACATTAACAAATTGTTTATGTTTTTTCTATGATAAAATAAAATATTATTATTATTATTATTATTATTATTATTACTATTATTAATGGGCATTAAGAACTCAAAAAAGTTCATTTGAACTTTTCAATAAAAAAATTAAAAAAAAAAAAAAAGAATGTGGGTCACGGGTGACCCCCTAATGGCAGTGAACGTGTTAAAAACAGTACGTTTTCAATTTAATATTTGTATTGGTATGCATGAAAAGTTTTGTTCACAGATCACATGGTCATCGAACAGGAACCACTGTTAAACGAAGATTATCATCATCATCATCATCATCGTGGCTCTGATACAACAACCCTCGACATCTGACGATTACTACCCCCCTTTCCACCCCCATAGCGTATGGTGATCATTATCGAATAATGGTACCACACTAACTTATATATATATATTTCAAACTTAATTTACAATTTAACCAAAATAATGACGATTGTATAAAACATAAGAGAAGTTACAAGAAATGGATGAGAAAATTCTTTACTTAAACAATTATGGGGAAGAAGAAGAAGAAACAAAAAGAAGAAGAAGAAGAAGACAAAAAAAAATAAAAAAAAAACAAAAAGAAAACAAACAACAAAAAAACAAAAGTTATATGGTTAATGTTCAAGGTCGGATGTGTACAGTATTTTTTACTAGCGTCGTCGAGAGTACAACAATAACCTAACCTAACATAAAAATAAAAATAAAAATAAAAATAAAAAATAATAAAAAAAGGTATTTGCATACTATATAATAATAAATATTACCAAAAAAAAAAGAAAAAAGAAAAAGAGAACGGTACGTAAAGAAAAAAAAAAAAAAAAGAAAAAAAATATTTCAACGTAACGTTTTTTCTTTTTTTTCTTTTCTTTTTGCGAAGGTTATTTATTTATATGTATATTTTTTTTCTTCACACTTATCAGCGGACGTTGTGAATTATATTTATACTTTTATTTTCTTTTTTTATCTCTCTCTCACTCTTCATTATCTACATTGTAACACTAACACACATTGTGATGGTCATCATCATTTATTTATTAATTTGAAAATTAATTGCAATAGTATTCTATTGTAATTGTTTGTTTGTTTTTTTCTTTCTTTCTTTTTTTTTTTTTTTTTTCTTAACATTCTTTTGTAATAACCCCTTTCTTTTTTTTATATACATTTTTTATATGAGTGTATATTTTTTTTTTGTTTTTTTTTTTAAGAAATTGTTTATGCATTTTTTTATAAACCACACGATTTATGCGCGCTCCAGCCCATAATTAAATTCACACAAAAAAAAAACATATTAAATGTGCGTATGTGTAAAAAATTTGGGCTGATATTATTGTATTAATTAATGCATTTATTTATTTATTGGGATCTCTGGCAGAGGGCGTGGTGTAACAATTTCACCTATCTATTCTAATTTGGAATTTAGTCACCAGATAGCGTAATCAAGTGTCCTAGAGATCCCATGTGTGGCGTAGCAATTTGATTTATTTACTTTAATTTTGAATTTAGTCACCAGATAGCGTATTCAAGTGTTACAGATCCCACCACGTGGCGGCGTAACAATTTGACCTATCTACATTAATTTGGAATTTAGTTACCAGATAGCGTATACAAGTGTGCTAGAGATCCCAATATGTTATTATTTGTCTAATAAGCTTAATTAAAATGAAAATAATAATGAATATGAAGTCATATTCATTAAATTAAGATGAAAAACAACATTGTACGTTTTGACGTAGTTTAATCGTGAAAAAAATTTCATTATCAACATTATCAACTAACAACGATTGCAAAATGTATAAAAAAAAAAAAAATAAAACCCAAACGTGAAGAACAATGAATTTATGAAATTCGTCGTTTGACTAAATTGCTGTTGTATTAAAAAAAAAAAAAAAAATAGAAAAGAAAAGTTATAAACTTTTCACCGTCCACTGATAAAAATCTATCGTGCAGAAAAATGTAAGCGGTAAAAAAGTAATAATAATAATAATAAATAAATAAATAATAATAATATATGAAATCCCCAAATTGAACAGCTGTGTCCATTTAATTATCTTTTACAAAACACCTTTATACTACACACTCCAAACTCGTACTTTAACACGTTCCTTTATTCCTAACAACAATAATTACACACAAATAAAATAATATAAATAATTAAATAAAAAAAAAAAAAAAATACTAAAAGAAACTAGAAAAAAGGATTGAAACTTTAACAAGGTAAGTGGTCAGTTATATCATCAGTTTACCTTTTTTAAAAAATTATAAAAAGAAGAACATGATAAATTGCATCAAGTAGCAAACAAACAATCAAACAAACAAACAAACAAGCTAGCAAGGAAGCAACGAGAAGACTAATTTTACAAAACAAACAAAAAGAAAGGTAAAAAAAAAAAATAAAAATCAAATGTTAAAACTAAAAGGAAAAAAAGGTAAGACAAAGAGAGCAAGAGAGAGAGAGAGAGAGAGAGAGAGAGAGAGAGAGAGAGAGAATTGAACCGGGCGCAAGGTAGGCCAAACCCTTGGCGTTTCGAGGGCGTTATTGATCGATTCTACTGGTAGTAAAAGCTCAAGAGAAAGTTCAATTTTGAGTTGATACTACGAGTTCAACGAAGCAAGTAGGTCTCCTGGTAGCACGTAGGTAGTGGTTCATGGTTTGTTATTTGGTTCAACATTAAAAAAAAAAAAAAAAAAAAAACAGAGTAAGTGTGCGTGTAATTTTCAAATACAATTGAACATACCAATGATTATGTAAAGAATTCAATCTAGTTCTGCTAAGAATTTATTGACAAGTTACTATACTTGATGATGATGATGATGATCAATGAAAAATAATAAAAATTAATGATATTTTTTTTGTTTGAACAATTGTTTGACGATGGCACTTGCTTGTACTATCCGCTCCTGTTAGTTTTGCGCCTGCCTGAATGAATAAGCAACGAGTTATAATGTGTGTGTGTGTGTGTGAGTGCTATCAGAAGACCACCAGAAACGAGATATCGGTTAGTTTAGTTGTTTCATAGGTTGCTCATTCGTTGCTTCGTTCAGTGTCACAACACTTAACACAATATTATTTTATATTCTTCAAAAAAAAAAAAAGAAAAAAAAAAGAAATATAAAGTTCTACTCGGAATGTATCTATCTTCCATTTCACATTTTATTTGTAATATTATTAATTAATAAAACTTTGGGATTATATTTAATGGGATTATCCTTCGTTGAGACAGGTATTTCATATAAATGTGCATGTTACGTGTTAGCATTGTAGTTATATAGCTTCCGTTCAAGATTTCATCACATCTCGTCATGTTATTTTATTTTGTTTTTTTTTTTTTGGGGGGAAAACAATACGCTAATCATTAGGTATACGTAAGATTACGTAAAAGGTATGACAGTTTAGGTGACAATTAAGTGAAACGTCAATATGTCTGAGAAGACCACTTTCAATCAATTATATCCTCATACAATTAAAATTTCTAATTATGAGATAATGTAATCATACAAATTCAATTATTAGATTAGAACAATTTGTCATTTGGGATCAATGGGGTATACTTTGTATCATCAAAGTTATCCTAGTTCGTAGTAAAACATTTGAAGGAACCCCTCGACCTATTTTTTTCTTTCTTTCTCAGTGGTGGTGGAAATGTTGCAAGTGGTAGAGGAGTAGGAAAAAAGAGGTGGTGGTGGTGGTGGTGGTGGTGGTGGTGATGCTTAGAAAAACGCGAACATTGCGAGAACTAGGGAAAGACGGTAGAACGTGCGGATGCGCCACACGGTGTTCGTTTGCCCTTGCTGCGTCCACAGAAATCAATAACTTTAATAGGAAAGTGCTGGGATGACGAATAGTGTCACGGTCAATTAACAACGTTGTTCACCGATCGTTATTTGATTAGAAAATGTGATGATAGAGTTGAGGATTCCTGACTAATTTTCTCGTTGTTATTGTTGTTTCTTTTTTTCTTTTTCTCACGTGAGATATTATCATAAACAAAAATACACTAAAACTAATCAATTTGATCAAATTAATCGATTGACTCTTTCTAATTGACATAATTGCATTGTTTAATATCACGGGTCATAGATTGAAAGATTGATATTTCGTTTTATAGGCTGACAAAGACCAGCAAGGTAGTAAATCGAAGAATGAAATAGCCATGATTGGATTAGGAAACGAGTTGGAAGATAAGCCATTGGCAGAATACTTTTCCATATATTCTATAAAACGGTGACAGATCATTCAATGGCAACCATGGATATACAAAAGAAACAACTTTGTCCACGTTTGGTGGACTATCTTGCAATCGTTGGAGCACGATCAGCTCCAATTTCTCGTCAACCTGTTCAGGTATGCAATATGTTTGATGATTAATGTTGGTCTCATGAAAATCTAAATGAGCTCATTTATTTGTCTTAGGTTCCAGAATTATTACGCAGATATCCAGTGGAGGATCACAAAGATTTTCCTTTACCTCTGGATATGGTGTATTTTTGTCAACCAGAAGGTTGCAGCAGTGTGGGACCTAAACGCACAGCTTTGAGGGAGGCCACATCTTTCACTTTCACCCTTACTGACAAGGATTCTGGTAAAATATTCGAAACAAACTCTTCATAATATATTGTACAATCTAATTTGTTTTTTTTTGTTTTTTTTTTTTGAAATAGGAAAAACAAGATATGGCATTTGCGTGAATTTCTATCGACCAATAGAAAGGGCTGGAACAAATGCACGGGGTGGAATTTCAATGAGACGAGACAAATACAATACAACGTTTAGAAGAGAAAGTTGGAGGAAGAGTATGGAAAAGAGTACGGATTCAGCATTTTCTAGGTGAAACGTCACATCCCTTATACTTTCCTAATTATCTTAACAATAATATCATCTTCTTTACTAATCTAATGTTAGATCAATAACAATTATGTGATTGTATCTCGAGCTGTTATTTATAGCGACTATAGAAGCAGCGCAGTTGGTCCAAGTGATTCGGAAAAAGATTGTTCAAGTAGTAGAAGAGATTCTGATACCTCTCATGCACCTTATGCACCTAGATTAGGTGTTACAGCACCTAGTGGTGACAGTGAAAGTGGTGGCAGTCATTCACCCTCTCCACGAGCTTCACGAAGACGACAGGTAAGTTTTCATTATTACTTTGATCATAATTCAATTTGAAATAATATATATATATACCCTGTGTATTTTTTTTTCAGAGGATTCGAAATCATTCTTTGACATCACTTTGTATTATTTCTCATCATCCATTTTTTTCAATGTTCCGTGAATGTTTGTTCGTTTTGAAGAAAATCATTGACGCTTGCAACGATAATTCGACTCCTCAAAAAGTAGGAGCTTCCAGACAAACTAACAGGTATTGTTTTCATTTCTTTTTTTTCTTTTTTTAAATTACAACCGTCACAATACATGTCATTTATTTGTCTATTATGTTTTATTATTTTCAGAGATTCAGTTTGGAGTGTTCTTAGTGGTCAAGTCTTGGAAGGTACACCGTCCATCGTGTTACACGATATTCGGGAAATAGAAACGTGGATTTTGAGATTGCTGAGCAGTCCAGTACCCGTACCAACGAAAACCCGTGTAGAAATAGAAGTAGTCTCGCCACAAATACAACCACCACTTTGTTTTGCATTACCTGATCATACAAGATTTTCTTTGATTGATTTCCCATTACATTTGCCACTCGAATTACTTGGCGTTGAAATATGTTTAAAAGTTCTTACATTAATATTATTAGAAAATAAGGTAAATTCATTTAATTTGAACAATTGTTGATCAATTTCGATCAATGATTAATATGATTAATAACATTCAATTGTTTGCTTCATTTCAGATCGTATTACAATCCCGTGATTACAATGCTTTGTCAATGTCGGTAATGGCATTCGTCACGATGATCTATCCCTTAGAATACATGTTCCCTGCAATACCATTATTACCAACCTGCATGAGTTGTGCGGAACAATTATTACTAGCCCCGACCCCATACATCATCGGAATACCTGCATCTTTTTTAATGTATAAGAAAAATTTCAAAATGCCCGACGATGTTTGGCTCGTCGATCTTGATAGCAATAAAATAACTGCACCTCCTGGTTTGGTGGATCAATTACCGTCCTTACCTGAACCGGAAGGTACCATACTAAAGAACCATTTGAAACAAGTAAGTAAAATAATAATATTTCATATAATATACTCTTCTTTTCAATTTCTATCACTTTAAAATCATATCCACCGATTTTTCTGTTAACCCTTTAAAAAAAAAAAAAAATGGGTTAATGTATCATAATTGCACAATTAATCCCATCCATCATCTAATAATTGTAAATCCATTCGTTTCCGCAGGCAATGCAACTGATGGATCAAGTTGGCTCTGGTGTAAATATTCTATTGGTTTATTTAGTTTTATATTATTTATTTATTTCAATATAATATTTATTATTTTACAGTAGTTAAAAACAGTCTAAGCGGAATCTGTTGCAGTGTCGTAGTCAATCCTAGTTTCTTTTTTTTTTAATTTAATTTGATACCTGCATAGCTCAAAAGTTGCACTACTTCCTTGCCGGACAAAATCGATTCTATCAACGCATCGATTATCTATCTATTTTTTTTTGCAATTATCCTACTAGTGCCATATACCTATAGCTAACTAAATTTTTTTTTTTTTTTGAAAAAGTAGACCTCATTCGGTACATTGTTTAAGTCTTATCAAGACACGCTTGCAGTCATAGATTTTGTAGACAAGCCAATCCTGCTTCTATTTTCCTTATTAATCATTACACATACGTATGTATATATTTCCATATTGACAAATATTTTCAGACAATGGGTAGTATGTCAGCTTCACAAGCCATACCCCAAGATACTTGGCCCTCATCACGCTTGTCTTCRCAATCACCAAGCAGAAGAGAAAGCACAGCTTCTCAACATTATCAAAATTTAAGGTAAACTTTCAAAAGTTAAACAATTCTATTGCATCCAATAAACATCATATTTTTTTTTAGCGTCTCGACAACGAGACACAGGCCAAGTGTTGATTATCAACATGGTCACGTTCAACAAAACCCATTGGGTGGAAATATATCACAGTTACGTCGTCCATCATTGTCAGCAGCACTGACATCAGTTTCAACATCTGGAGGAAGTGGTACACCTTCTCCTTCATCATCATCATCACCAGTAATTATACCTGGGACCATGACAGGTGGTGGAACGTCAACATCAACAACAACAACAACAACATCGACTATGGCACCACCCTTTAATCCTTTTATCTATGGAAATGACGTTGATTCGGTTGATGTAGCAACAAGAGTTGCTATGGTTCGATTCTTCAATTCGCAAAATCTTTTAGCCAACTTTACCGAACATACACGAACCTTGAGACTTTATCCTCGACCCGTGGTTGCATTTCAAATCAATTCGTTTCTTCGTTCACGACCAAGGGCTAGTCAATTTTTAAACAAATTTGCTCGCACGCAAGCAGTCGAGTTTCTTGCTGAGTGGTCATTAACACCAAGTAACGTTGCTTTTTTGAGAGTACAAACTGGTGTCTTTGATCCTACCCAAATCGGTGATAAACCTAAATGGTACGCTGCTGGTCTTGAACCGATACATTTCAAAGTTTGGGATAATTCTAGTTCATTGGCAAATGCAATGAATGCATTGAAAGAATTGGAAAGTCAACCGACAGATGAAAGTGGCTCGGATTCGGAAGGTGCTGAAAGTACCAGTTCATCTTATTCATCTTTAAGTGATTTTGTTTCGGAAATGGCATCATCTGATTTATCACCAAGTTAGTATACACACAATGTAATTTGTCCTAACATCATTATGAATATTTTCTAATATATTACAGGTTACAATTGTCCTCAAGTAAGTCAACCACAACAAATGGCACTTTCGATAGAACTAAAGAACATTTACAATCCACCAAGTTCATTGCAATATCCTGGAGTAGAAGAGGAATCACCAGCACGACCAGAAAGCCCACCAAGTACATCATCCAGTCACAGTGATCTCAGCAGTCCAAGTTTCAACAGAGATTCCGAATTAGAATTAAATCCAAAAGCTATGGAAACATCTCAATCGGCCAATGTAAGTGAACGAATAATTGTGGAATGGTTTTTTTTCTACAAATGTCAAATGTTTTTTATATTATCAATATGATATTAAATTAGAAATACCTAGAAACAATTACGTTTAAAGAGAGAACGATGATGGGCTTTTTATATCACAATGTTCTTTGTCGTTTCACATATCACATTATTTATTATCTTCTTTTTTCAAGCAAGCTTTATTTTGTTATCCTTCAAAAAAATACAACAACAACAATCTTTTCATTCTTCTGCTATTCTCTATCGCTTAAAATGTGAATCGAGTGTCCCATTGAAAAATGTCTGATCGTTAATCTATCAATAAACAAACATAATTCGGCTAGTATCATTATTAACATATCAATCAATCAATCAATCAATCAATCATGCATAATTAAACGTTATCATCATAATTTTGGTTTCTATGTTACATGCTTTTTGTGCTAATGAATTACTTGGTCATAGGATAAAGAGGAAGGTGGTAGTTTTGAGTCAGACTCTGCATCGACAATAACTCCACGCACAATCCTGAGCGCACAAAGTTCAGTAGGCCAATTTGGAGTGGGCATGGGGTCATTAGGTAACTCCTTGCTCAACGACACTGAACGCACTACCACCCCTCACAGGACATCGCGCGTCACTAGATATATGGTTCCTGTGAGTCATTCTATATGCGTGCATCGGATTTCTCTGTCCTGCATTTATCTATTCAAAAGATTCCAGCCTTGTCTCTCTCTCTCTCTCTCTCTCTTTCTATCTCTCTATCTATCTCTATCTCTTTCTGTGTCAACTATAACAAAGTGCATGCACATCTGGTATCATTGTCAATTTCACTGGGCTTGCGCTAATGTCACCGTGTTCGTAACCAACAAAATAATACATCACTTGGCATGTAAAACTGAATTTTTATTATCTTACAGTTTATGTATTGGAGCTATTCTCACCTGGGTCCTCTACTATTCGTTTAAACTTATATATATATAAATATTTTGTCCTATAACGTAGCTAAGTATAAGATTAATTTTGTTCAAGTTATTACAATAATCAACCTAATAAATTCTTGATTAAACAGAGTATGTAGTATCTAACTTCTTTTAACAGAGTTCAGTAAGAATAAAATGATTTGTTTGATACTGTAACTTGGTAGTAGTGAACACACTGTCCACTGAGTATTATCAAACTAACTTGTTTTTTTAGAATTAATTTGGTGTTTTTGCACAATATTGCGTAAGATATTTTGAATGAATGCTTATTGCAAAGATGAAACGAATTGAAACAAACAATAAGATACATTGAAATAAGAAATCTTGTCTACGTGATGTTAAAGGTTATGCCCAGTGGAACGAGTCTTCAAAGACAGCCAAGTGTTGGCAATGTTTTGGCAAGAACGTCAAGTTTTGGATCTAGTACGAGCCCACTTTTAACTCGACAATTAAGTGGTAGTATGGATAGTGAAACACTTGTTGCATCTCGTCAACAAGTGGCATCTGGTTCACCTAATGGACACAAGAACAACAATGCTGGATTGCCTGGGAATGGTGTCATGAGACAAGGATCTCAGGGCTCGTTGTTTGAACAAATTGCAACTCAAGCTAAAGATCTCGTACGAGAAACAACCAGACAAAGTAGTCAAGATGGACTTCTTGCTCATATGGACAAAGTACTTAACTTTTATATTATTTTTATTTGAATTATTACAAAAAAAAAGAAAAAAAAAATGGTAAAAATAAATTTCTGTTTTTAGCTAAAGCATCAAGCAAAGGAAAAGATCACCGAAGCAGGTGAAGATAGTTTGTTTGCACCACTGGAACAGGTATATTATTTCATTATTGAAGATAATAATACAATTTGATATATGAATACCATTTTTGTTCACAGTTGACACAACAAACGAAGAAGGCTGTAGGTGAAGCTACAAAATCTGTTCAAGAGGCATCCAAAACTGCAATAGAAGCAAGCAAGACAGCTGCAGGTGTCAGCAAAAATACTTTTGACGATTTAACATACATGGGTAAAAGTACGTTCGGTGATTTAACCAAGAGTGCTAAAGAGGTTGCAACAAAAAAGGGTCTGCTTAAGGTACCCAAGTACAAATTGTACTGTTAGATTAATTAAATAATTCTTACTGTAATTTGTAATTGATATTGTTACTTCAGGGTCTCGGAGAATCACAACAATTTTCACCACCACATACACCACCATCACCAGGTGTAACGCAAAGAAGAGAATCATCAAGTACACAATTGGTTGCTTCGGATAATCGTTCAGCACGTAGAGAAATTGGTCAAAATTTTTTCAGCACCTTCAGCAGCGATTTGAATGGCATTGCTGCTCAAACAAGCAGCATGTTCAGCGATTTATTTGGTAATTTTTATGATCATTAAAATTTTGAAAAATGTTCTCATAAACGTTTATCTTTTCATTTATTTTCACAGGTAGTAGAAACAATTCTAATCGAAATATTGCACAGTCACAAAAATCCAAGGACAAATCTGGACACTTTCCTAAAGGTTGGTTGTATTAAATCAAAATTATGAAAAGAAACAAAAAAGTATAATCATCATGATTACACAGGTTCAGGTAAAACAGGTCTCGTTGAGAATTCGTCATTGATAAAACATTCCTCGATGAAAGCTAATCAAGAAGAAATGCAAAGGATGCAAAATGCAGAACGGTCTAGTACAAACAGTGACAATCAAACCTTCTTGAAAGACGTAAATAATACTTTTCAATACAATCATTTCATTTATAAATCTTTTTGACTATTAATGAATGATATTTTTTAGGTGGTAACACAAGTTTTAGCTGGTGAAGGTGTTGGATGGCTTAAATTGAATAGATTGAAGAAACTCATGGAAGATGAAAGCTATCGAGACCTGGTAGTAACGAAACTAAATAAAGGACTTAACAGAAAAATAAGTCCAGATGATCATATCGACGATGTGGTAAATTTTATTCTTACACGTTTGACCTTAATTTTGATGTTACTTGTTTGATTATACTCTACAATATGATAAATTTCATTTTAGTGTATCTCCAAACCAGTTTATAAGGGAATGCTAAAGTGCCTTCAAGCAGTGGTTCATGGTCTTGGTCATACTTATCATAATTTTGGATTAGGTGGAATGGCTTCTGTATTTCAATTGATGGAAATTGCTCATACGCATTATTGGAGCAAGGATTTATCCGAGGGTGGTTTTGATGGGTCACTTTTATCACAGGTTTGTCAAATAAACAAACAAATAAGCGTACAATACGAGAAATCATTTTTCATTTAATTTATTTATTGTTCCAGGCATCGAGCCCATTTGGTAGCAAAGAAAATTTGAAGTCACCACAATCTCCAAATCAAGGTGAACTTCTAGATATATCTCAAAGATTACGAAGTCCACAAACACAAGGTACACACATAAGAATGAAATGATTTAAACAAATCATAGGATAGATAAATAATAATTTCTCTATTTTAATTTTCAGAAACAACATCTCAAGTACAACTTGAGTTACCCCATGGACAGCATGGGAGTGACAGTGGCCAATCAACAACTGATATGTTTTTGGATATGTTTAGTAAAAAGAAAAAGTTTTTGTGCAAGCTAACGTCATTCGATTCCGAGGTACGAGAAAGATATTTCAAGATAACTGTTTATCTTTCTATCTGAGAGTTATTTGATTGTAACGCGTTTTTAGATACCGTAAGATTCGTATTATTAATTCGAATTATAAGAAGAAGATATTTGAGGCGGGAGGGGAGGCGGGGTTTCCTTTTTTGATTTAGTGCTCATTTATAATTGCACATTTGCGTCAGCTGATAATCTCCCAGTTGTTCAATTAATGAACTTAGGCAAAATAATGAGATTAATATGAATAATTTCTATTATGAACATGATATGTTTTTTTAGAGTGGGCGGGGAGGTGGAACAGGAAGCAGCGAAGCTTTGTCCACTGACGGAGGTAGCATTATCACTAATCCTGCTTTTCGTCAATCACATCAAGCTTCTTTCCGAAGCACCGTGTCTGATAGCGAGGTCGAACAAGGCAATGTAAATTTATTATTGAATAATTTCATTCAAATTATTCACATTCAAGTAGATGATATTAATATTATTATGATTATCATTATTATTATTATTATTATTATTAAATTATAAAGAACATTTATGTAAAGGATTATCACAATTTTTCTTCATCATTGAAAATTCATGAAAAATTAGAGGCCTTGAGATTAGAGTAGTAGAAATTAGAATTAGTCAATGAAAATGACGTAGTTGATGATAGTTGTTTAGTTTTATTAATCTTTAGCTGCTTCATGCCATTTATTTCCTAACACTTGTGTTTTTTTTATTTTTTTTTTTAATTAATATTAATTATTCCCTATTTTTTTTTCTTCCTATTTTTTAAACAAACAACACGAAAACTTAGAAGAGTTCAAGGCGAACTTACGGATCTAATTATGCTAATTAATTTACTACAGCTGCTTATCTATTTATTATCCCATTCACGTTACTAACACTTAGATACGATTCTTTCAATCTATATATTGTAAATATAATTAAATATATATTTAAAAAAGAAATATATATATATATATATATATATAGATGAAAATGATTAGTAATATTTGATCGGTAACGTGTAAGGTGAACGAGTAATTTCATATTTGTATTATCCGTGTTATTCGATCCTCTGTTTCCAGTTTCCACGTCAAGGAAAACAACGTACAGGTAGCGTCTGGTCCAGTAAATCATCGTTGAGTACAGGCTTCAGGTACCATGGTGGAAATTTAATCTCTACCACACCAATGTCTAGTCCTGAAACGGCACGAACTTATCTTTTCGAAGGTAATTATATTTACACACACACACACACACACACACACAAAATATCAAATTATCTCATCACGCACAAATTTTGTGCTGTGGGTTCAGGTCTTTTGGGTAAAGAAAGATCAAATCTTTGGGACCAAATGCAATTTTGGGAGGATGCATTTTTAGACGCAGTATCTCAAGAACGAGATATGTTGGGTATGGATCAGGGTGCAGGTGAAATGATGGAAAGGTGATGATCGAATTTTATTTTTTTTTTTAAATTCAACGACCATAACAAACAAAATGAATGAAAGAATATTCTTTCGTTTAGGTACAAGAGTTTGAGCGATAGCGAAAGACGTCGATTGGAACACGACGAGGATAGATTGTTGTGTTCATTGTTGCACAATTTAACTGCAATTTTGGTAATGTTGAATGTTGAGAAAAACGAGGTTAAACGTAAAGTACGTAGATTGTTGGGAAAGAGTCACATCGGTTTGATTTACAGTCAAGAACTCAATCAACTTCTTGATCAGATAAACAATCTCGTACGTTTCTTTTTTTTTTGTGAAAAACCAAAAAAAAGAATTGTTTAAAATTAAATTTCCAACTACATATATTTATTTTAAACAAATAAATCATTTCAGTATGGTAACGATATCGATTTAAAACCATTGACATCGCGACAAATGCATCGTCAATCGTTCACCGTTCACGCAGGGGTTGATGCAGAGGGTGATTTAAGATTTCTCGAAGTACGTCACGATGGTCTTGTTTTAAGATCGGTTAATGGTGTTATCGTAGAACGTTGGTGGTACGAACGTTTGGTCAACATGACATACAGTCCGAAAAACAAAGTTTTATGTTTGTGGAGACGAAACGGTGGTCAAACACAATTTCATAAATATTATACGAAGAAAGTGAGTAACAACAATTTTGATAATACTTTGATATGATCATTCATTTGAATAAAAAAAAAAAGAGAAAAAAAAAAGAAGAAACTCAAATCGAATGAAAATGATTTTGATGATTCTAATATTAATTTACAGTGCAAAGATCTTTATTATTGTATAAAAGATGCAATGGAAAAAGCCGCTGCACGTGGAAGAGGAGGAAACATTGGGATCGAATTGGGAGGTGAATTTCCAGTTCAAGATATGCGAACGGGAGAGGGTGGTCTTCTTCAGGTTTGCATGGAAGGTGTTGGTCTTCTCTTCGCAAACAGCAAGGTACGACCAGTCCACCATCCCTTGCCCGTTATACGTTCGCATTTACACATTTTACGTATTAATCGAGGGTGCAAGAAGAATGAAAACTTCAACTTTACTACTACCACAGTTGTACTAATATTTCCATTATCTAAATTACTTAGTTTATTTTTTGTTTTTGTTTTTGTTTTACATTCATTAATTAATTTCTATACAATGATTACATTTTTCTATTTCTTCTGTTCTTCATATATATATATATATATATACATATATATAGGTACTACTATTTCTATCTCTATCTATCTATCTATCTATCTATCTAAATTATTCTACTATCTTTATTTTTTCATCTTTTGCAATGTTACTGTTTACTCTAATGTTAATATTTATAAACAAAGGTATAATTGTTCGACGATTGTACATAAGTTGAGTAATACTTTTTTTACAAACAAACAAACAAAAATATACATTTTCTAGCTTCGATTCAACGATCCTACAAAGTTACAAGAACCAAACGTGTTCAATGCAAGCAGATGATGATATTGGGATCTCTGGCAGGAGCGTGGCATAGCAATTTGATCTATCTATTGTAATTTTGAATTTAGTCACCAGATAGCGTATTCAAGTGCTACAGATCCCAATATCATCTTTTTTCTTATGAATTTCTATTATAATTATCATTTCTATGAATAAGAAAACACAAAGATTTGGCAATAAGTTTGAATAAAAAAAAAAAAATAAAAAAATGAATCGTTGAATTGAAGTGTTTAAATGTAAAATCAAAGAGCATAGCCGTCGCTCAGCCACTATTTGACCTATTTTTTTTGTCTACTTCTTCTTTGTATTGTCTCGATTATTGAATACTCTCTCTCTCTCTCTCTTTCTCTGTGTTTTATTTTTTTTTATCGTTACTGCATTGATGCAAGGACCACTCAATATTATCTCCCATCGCTACCTAGCCCACTACGATCTGCTTAAATTTGTAATCTGTACGTATTTTATTATCAGTCTTATTTGTATGATCAGAGTTTTTGTTTCTTATCGCGACATGGGGGTGGTGGTCTGTCTCATCTAAGAAACACGAATTGGGTTGGAGAGTAGGAGGGATAACCAAGGAGTAGGAAAGAATGAATACGATAGAGGAAATTACTTGAAAAAAACAAAAAAAATAATCTTTAATATATATAAATTACGTGTCACGTTTGTTTGTCCGCAATGGACTCCTAAACTATTGAACCGATTTTAATCAAATTTTGCACAATGCGTGCAGTTTCATTCAAATTGAAAGATAGGATAGTTTATATCATACTAACAGATGGCGGTCTAAGGTAATTCGTTCACTTAAATACGTGTGTATCGGACTGATTGTGAGCCACAGCAACGCGTGGTGAGACACCCCTATAATAAATATAAATGTGAGAATGTTTAAAACGTGTGCAAGAGTAAGAGCGAGAGGTTTTACTGCGAATGACGCGAATGAGATTTGAATTATTGTCAGTCAGAATAACAAAAGTCAGGGGAGACCGGGGGAAAAATATTGCTATTAAAAAAAAAAAAAAAATAATAATAATAATAATAATAATTTGACAAAGTACTCGTGTGGCAGGGCATTTAATGACATTGCTCTGATTTTTTTCGAACGGTCATTTTGTTGAGCAAATATTTTGTTGAAGCGTACATCAATGTTTTTCTTGCATGGAGCTCGATGTGCAGCTGCAGACTCTTTTTTATATATATATCTGTATTATAATAATTATATATTCTATATATATATATATATAGATATATATACACACTTATTTATATATTTATATATATATACATATATTTACGTTACGTTTATAGGAATTATTTAAGGGATATTACTAGGATATACGGATCGTTTAAAAGTATTATCTTTACATATTATATATATATATATATATATATATAAATATATATATATGTAATATGTATATTATACTATACATTATGACTTGTATATGAATGTTGGATGCTGCGTAAAGATTTTTCTACAGTCTTAAAGTATATATATATATTATTTTTTTTTCTCTGTCGTGGTCACACCGGAGAAAAGTCTATCAAAATGTAATAAACAAATTAATCAATAAAATTGCACACACACACAAAAAATCCAATCATTTTTAAAATAGATAGAAATATTTGCTATTTTTTTTTATTTTTTTTTTTTTTATTAAAAAAAAAAAACAACAACAACAAAGAGATAGACTTTTCTCAGCTTGGGGAACTTTTGAGATGGTCCTTGAACAATGAAACCTTTTATTATCGTTAATTAAATATTTAATTGGCCACGTCGATAGGTAAATAGCTAATTATTATGTCACCGTGCAACCCTGTCTCTCTCTCTCTCTCTCTCTCTATCTATCTATCTCTCTCTTCTCTTTTTAACATAGTGAAATATTATTGTCTACGAAATATAATTTTTTATATTTCTGTTTTCTGTTTCGTGTCCTGTCCATCAACAATGCCCCGCGGCTGGGCAAACAGGATTTCGAGGTATTAATCAACAAATCACATTATTTGTTATAAATCCAATATTTAATTATATTCAGTGTTGGCCGTGTTCCGGAAATGCTTATTTCTTTTACCGTTACTTTATTATCGTTTTTTCTCACTATTACATACGTATATATATACATATATGTAAACATATTCTATATATATATATGTATATATTAACCACACATTCTTGAATTGCATTTGAAACGACTGATCTGCTCTGTCTATCTTACTGTTCTCTCACACCATCGATCGATGTCTTTTGGTACTGTCCGTTGTGATTGCGATACGTAGGTATATATGTGTGTAGTTTAACGAGCACACGCATACATACGTCTATCACAAATTTTAAATATCGTCCTAAATTTATTTATTTATTTATTATTTCTTTTCTTTTATTTTTTTTCTTAATCTTTGTATACTCCACCTCTAACCCCCCCCCACCCTATACGCATTCACGATTATCAGTGTTGTTCTTTTATTTTATTTTTTATTAGAGATATGTATATATGTATGTATATAAATATACATGTATACATTAATTAAACAAATATATTATTGAAAATGAAAAGCACACGATATTATTCCAATGCTGTTTGATAAACGCAATTCTACTGGAAATGGCAGAAACTAAAGTTGTTTAGATTTTGATGATTGTAAAATAAAATAAAAAATGATTTTAAAAAAAAATCATCTCGCAACAGCAACAACAACAACAACAACAACAACACCGTAAGCATCGATAATACGATGTGTGCCCATAATTATGAAAATGGTCTAAGTCAAAATTAAAAAAAAAAAAAAAATTTAAGTTATTACGCACTACAACAACATTATTATAAACTAAATAAATTCAATGTAATTTATTACACGATATTATCAAAACATGAATTGTTAGATAATGTNCTAAAGTTGTTTAGATTTTGATGATTGTAAAATAAAATAAAAAATGATTTTAAAAAAAAATCATCTCGCAACAGCAACAACAACAACAACAACAACAATTAATTACGTTAGTAAGATACATAGATATGTACCCATAAATATGAAAGTGGTCTAAGTTAAAAAAAAAAAAAAAAAAAGAGTTGTTTATCAGTTATTACGCACTACAACAACATTATTATAAACTAAATAAATTCAATGTAATTTATTACACGATATTATCAAAACATGAATTGTTAGATAATGTTTGTTATTTATATGATATATGACTTACAATTTGAACACTTTCATAATTATGGGCACACACAGGGTATTCGGATAATCGTAAGATAAACTTCAGCAGATCAATGTTCAAAATGAAAGAATAGAATGAATTCTAATTTTCTTAATTTAACATTATTATGATGCATATAAATATTTTTTTAATCGTGTTAAAAATAATAATAATAATAATAATAATATTCATTTCGGAGTACGGCCGTAGATAAAGTATGTGCCGAAATAGTAGCGAATCGTGTAGTAACACCTGTAGTGCCTAAACCAAATACTGTTCTCAATAAATTATAATTAAACGTACAAAATTGGAAGACATTTTATATAATAAATCAATGATACAAAAATGTTCAATATTGTTTCTCAAATAAAAGAAGAAAAAAATGTCAGCCAATTTTGATGAACGTCGAAAGGTTACCGTAAAACGGGATTATTCCATCCCGTTAGACGGTGACCTTTTTTTTTTTATTTTGTTTTTTTTTTAACCAGGCTATTTATGATGGCGCCGATCACGCAGTAGAGCAAATTGTGTCGTGCTATTCTATTATACATCGCCATATATTCCTAAACTAAATAGCAATTATTTAACAATAAGAAAATGTCATTTCAATCAACAACAAAAGTCTCTCATCGTTCTAATTCAATCAAATTGTTCTTTTTTTTTTTTTTACCATTAAACTAATATTAATTCTAACAATTTCATTATAATTCCTAATAACGTCATAACCATCGCGTTATCATAAAAATACAACACACAATAACACGTACACGTTACATATATACATACAACGTATACACTTAATACATATATATATATATATAGATATATTACACCATAAAATGATTTTTCTAGCATGGCACTGATTACGTGATGTTCCTCCCTATCTTCCATTTATCTTCTATCGAGCACACACGAATAATAATAATAATTATTATTATTATTATATTTCTAATATAATTATTACTATACCTTACTAAACACACTTTCAACTTAAAACTATCTTACATATAGCACTTCAATATATATATATGTGGGACGAGCGCTTCCATGCCAAACTTATTGGGCATTCGTGAGAAGGATTGGTCGGTGGGCCCCCTGGATAGCTCAATTGGTTAAAAGAGCAGTCGCCCCGGAAAGCGAGAAAGATCTGTGGTTCGTTGCCCGGTCCAGCGGTCCAATTTTTTTCACGAATCCCACATATATATATCTAATCATGATTGTGCATCATATTATCGAGGTACCCCGTCCATCGCTATAAATATTACATATATATATCTATATATATTTATATTTATATCTAGACGATGCGATTGCACATTTAGCAGACTATCCGACGCTAAGCGGTTGATAACATACAATAAGTTTAGGCCATCTCCAGAGTTGCCTGCTGCTGATTAAATGTTAACCCACTACCCACTGTCAACTGTCAATGCTAATGTCAATGCCAATGCCAATGCTATTTGCTAGTGCTGCTGCTATTGCTGCTGCTATTGCTGCTGCTGCTGCTGCTGCTGCTTCTGATATTTAAAACATCAGAAAAATAATCCAAAAAAATATTAAAGCATGGGTGCGATGCGTGAGCGAGCTTTCGTAAGCTTTTGCCATTTCCATTTAAATCCTAATCTTTAAATCTTGTCTTTCCAATTTGTTTGATTTTGTTTTTCAAAAGAACCATTTTTTTTTACAGCTTTTATCATTCGAATAAAGGAGGATACTTTCCTGATTCATATCAAATATTTTTTTTTTTTTTACCGATAAGAATTGCACTGGTATTTTTATTATAAATCATGGATCACGAGAGTATACTTGTTTCTGAAAAAATGTTAATTTAAACGAATGATGTTTTTATTTACAAAAAAGAACAAAAAAAAAAAGGATTGCTTTGCTTAGCTGCCCTTTTTCGTGTTAATCAATTTTTTTCCACTAATACAATTATGAATATGAAATTTTGCACAATTAGCATGAATTTTCAAATTCTTATTCATACGATGCTAAAAAAAAAATCATAACAAAAATGCACAACCAAAAGAAAAAGATCATCTTCAGACAAACATTCTAAAAAAAAAGAAAGAAAAAAAAATACTAAATAAATTAGCAGCTTGATTTTGACCATGTGTATTGATCACAAACGATGATCTTTTTTTTCCCCTCTATGTTTTTTTTTTTTTGCAAAATGCAAATGCATATTAACCAAGAGACTCATGTTGAATTGGTTGTTGTTATACATTTGAACAAATAATTTTAATAAACGCGTATCACAAGTGTCTTCTTATAGAATGTTCCTACAAAAGAGCTGTGATCGGTCATCTTTTCTAATTAAAAGAAAGGTAGTAGTCACACACACACACAAACATACCTGTAGACGTAGTTTTAAATCGTACTTGCATGGAAACGTAGACAGTTTTTTTTTGTTCTATCATCAAGTTCATGCTCGTTAATACATAAATTGTTCCTATTATTTACAGTTTTTTGTAAGACTCGATCATATCCGCAAGTGCTTTACCCAGAAGGATGGAATCTTTGTTTTGGAAGAATTCAGTGAGTAATTTAAATCACACACAATTGAAAAATGTATTACAAACTAACGTCTTCTACGACGTGTATCTTTGTTTCAGATCCTAAAACTAGACAAGTAATTCAACGTAAATATAAGTCGCAAATGGTAAGTTTAATAAATACTAAAATAAATAAAAAGGAATATTTTATGATGCTTATTTTGCACCCGATATTATTTTCAATATTATTCGTTAAATTTTTCATGGATATTAAATATATTAATTTATATTATTTTTACAATTAAAATAGTTTGTTCTTTTTTTTTTTGTTTTCATTTATTTTTCTTTTATAATTCACGTTGAACCAAACACAACAGGCTAACGAGATGATACACTGTATACATCGGATATTTTCAATTGCGTTTGCCGTTGCCGAACTTTCGTCAGAGGTTCATCTTGAATCTTTGTCGGATAAAGATACTGCATGAAGCTTTATTTACGATGATTCATTTCGTTTTACAAATTTAAAGTAAGTCACCTAATCCTTATTATATTATTTTTATTTAATATATATATATATATATTTAACTTTGTGTTGCATTATTGATCGCACAATTTTCTATTTACCCTCTTTTATGATTTATCTTCTATATTAATGAAAATTACAGTATGCATAATTGTACAAATTTTCATATTCACAGGCAGATCAAATCTGTTACGCGGTACTCTGTGTATTTTCTTATTTGGCTGCTGGTTTAGAGCAACGTAAACCACAACAGCCAAATCAAAAATTACTTCAGCAACAACAACAGCAACAGCAGCAACAACAACAGCAACAACAACAACAGCAACAACAGCAACAGCAACAACAACAGCAACAACAACAGCAACAACAACAGCAACAATATCAGCAACAATTGCGCCAACAGCATCACAAACAACGTCAGCAACTATTGCAGCACCAACAACACCACCAACAACAACAACAACATCAGCAACAACAATTACGTCAACAACAACAACAACAACAACAGAGACGTCAGTCGCAAGTGTCGCCAAGGGATGAAAATATTCCTCACCAAGTTACACAGGGAAATACGAACACGCAATTTGAACCCTTTCCACAACAACAACACTGACACAAAGGCAGACACTCTCTCCCATTCGTGCATGATTACAATAAATGCGCTCCTTACGCTTGCCTACCTTGGGTATGAATGAAATTCTAACGTAAGAAAAAAAACAAAAACAAAAAAAAAAGGCACGAATTGTACCCATTTCATTCTTCTTCAGCCTTGAAAAATAAATCTAATAAATGTTCGTCGGCGTGGTATTTTCCTAAATGATATGAAACAAAAATAATCTAAATGAACAGCAAGCAAGCTAAGAGAAGCTTCGAAATTCTTCATCATTTCTAAATACGCTTTAGCCTGCTTTGTTTTTCCACTTGTTCGATACTTCCATTGTAACATGTGATATATGTAATCGTACTATTAACAAAAACAAAATAAAAATAAAATAAAGTACACTGAAGAAAGAAATAGGAACACAGTGAGAGAGAGAGAGAGAGAGAGAGAAAAGGAAACAAAAAGAAGCATAAAACAATATATTATGAACAATTTGTATGTAAACAAACAAAGAGAATATTGGGATCTCTAGCACTTGAATACGCTATCTGATGGCTAAATTCCAAATTAGAGTAGATAGGTTGAATTGTTACGCCACGCCCCTGTCAGAGATCCCAATACACAGGAACAAATATGTACTTATATTATACATTACAGCAGTGTATAGAAAGTGTATATTTT